CAGTAGAGAAACTCAAAGAGAGAAGGCAGTTGAACAAGCATTGCAATCAAAATTCAACAAGAAAGCTGGAAAAGAGAAGTCGAAGCAGCGAAAGAATCTTGCTGGTGATGAGAAGTCAAGCAAGAATACTTACTCGAAAGGTGTGGGAAACAAGTTACCTGGAAAGAAAGTTGACACGAAAGAGGTGCAATGTTACAATTGTCAAGGTTTTGGCCACTATACTAGAGATTGTCGAAGAAAGAAAGCTGCAAGGTCGAAAGATAGTGATGAAGCTCAATATGTACGAGCTGGAGACAATGATTCTGATGATGTGTTGTTGCTGGTGAACACTCAGTCGACTATTGAGAAAAACAACATGTGGTATCTGGATTCAGGATGTAGCAACCACATGATTGGCAATAAAAACTGGTTTACCAAGTTAGATGAATCAGTCGAAAAGGTGATAAAATTTGCAGATGGCAGGCATTCAAATCAGGTGGTAAAGGAGATATTTTGATTATCAGAAAGGATGGTCGAAAGGATATTATCACTGACATTCTATATGTAGCTTCGATAACAAGTAACTTGATAAGTGTAGGTCAATTACTTGCAAAAGGCTTCAATATGAAGTTGAAGAATAATCAGATGAAGGTATATAGGGCTGATGGGAGGTTAATAATGAAAGCACCATTGGCGGAGAACAAAACGTTCAAGGTTGAATTCAAGACATCAGATCACAAATGTCTTGCTTCAACTACAGTAGAAGACAAGAGCTGGCTATGGCATCACATGTATGGACATCTAAACTTCAAGAGTTTATGTATGCTCAATCAGAAAAGAATGGTGCTTGGGTTGCCGTATGTGAAGGAACTAAAGCAAATATGTGAGGAATGCTGCAAAGTTAAACAGGAAAGAAAAGCGTTCAAACATGACTTGCCTATAAGATCAAGGCAAAAACTAGAGTGGTTCATTCAGATGTGTGTGGACCCTTTGAAGTAAAGTCGAATGGGGGTAACATATATTTCGTTACTTTCATTGATGAATTTACCAAACATATGTAGATCTACCTTATTGAAAAGAAAAGTGAGGTATTCACACAGTTCAAGAAGTTCAAGTTGTATGCTGAGAAATAAAGTGGCTGCAAATTGAAGAAGTTAAGAACTGATGGTGGTGGTGAATATACTTCTGCTGAATTTGCTAGATTTTTCAATGAGGAAGGTATAGAGCATGAAGTTATTGCACCATATACGCCTCAACATAATGACACATATGAGAGAAAGAATAGAAGTGTACTGAACATGACGAGATGTATGTTGAAATCTAAGAATATGCCTAAGAGATTTTGGGCTGAAGCAGCTTTGACAGCAGTATACGTTCTAAATAGATGTCCAAAGAAGAAGATAGTCAAAAAGACATTGCATCAGGCTTAGACAGGGTCGAAGCCAAATGTAAGTCATCTTAGAGTTTTTGGATCAACATGTTTCAGGCATGTACCTGAACAATTGAGAAAGAAGCTAGATGATCATAGTGAAGTCATAGTGCTCATAGGTTATCATTCGAATGGTGCATACAAGCTATATTCACCAATCGAAGATAAACTAGTGATCAGTAGAGATGTTCTTGTAGACGAAAGCAAAGGATGGGATTAGAGTCGAAGTTCAGTTTGACATGAATCAGACACAGTCACAACTGTGTTTGAAGAAGATGAACAGAACGAAGCTTCGACAATTCGAAATGAAGAACCACCTGTGCAGAATGAAAGAAGATCCACAAGAACAAGAACTGAGTCGACTAGGCTGGTTGGATATGAGAGGTTTCCAGATCAAGCAATCGATGCAGATGGTGACTTAATCGAAGAAGCCATGATGATGGCTGTAGCATAACCAATCGATTTGGGTGAAGCCTTGAGCAATTCAAATTGGTGTGAAGCCATGAAAGTAGAACTTAGAGCCATTGAGAAGAACAAGACTTGGGATCCTGTCGAAAGAACCAACAAGAAACCAATCAATGTGAAATGAATCTACAAGGTGAAACGAAGGCCAAATGGTGAGATTTCAAAGTATAAGGCAAGACTGGTGGCCAGAGGTTTTCTACAAAAACCTGGTATTGACTTTGATGAAGTATAGGCGCCTGTTGCAAGGATCGAAACAATCAGGATTGTTGTTTCGATAGCTGCATATAAAGGATGGAAAATGCACCAACTTGATGTAAAGTCAACGTTTTTGAATGATCCATTGGAAGAAGAAGTCAACGTTACTCAATCACCAGGTTTCAACGTCAAAGGACAGGAGTCGAAAGTTTACAGATTAAGGAAGACTCTCTATGGCTTGAATCAAGCTCCTAGAGCTTGGAATAAAAGGATAGATAACTGCCTAATCGAAGCAGGTTTCACAAAGTGTGTCTGAATATGGAGTATATGTAAATGATGTCGAAAGTGTCAATTGAATCATTTTATGTCTCTATGTTGATGACTTACTCATTACAGGAGTAGACGAAGCTGAAATAATGAAGGTAAAGTCGAAGTTAATGCAGGAATTCAAAATGTCTGATTTAGAGAATCTCTCCTATTTCCTTGGAATGGAATTCAAAGACATCGGAGGAGTTTTCTTGCATCAAATGAAGTATGCTCAAGATATACCGAGGAAGTTCCATATGAGTAACGGTAAGGCAGTTGTTACTCCATTAGATACTGGAACAAAGACTAAAAAAGGAATCGAATGATGAATTTATAAGTTCGACCCTTTACAAACAAATCATTGGATCCTTGAGGTATCTTTGCAATACTAGACTAGATATATGCCAAAGTGTAGGATTGTTGAACAAATTTATGGAGAAGCCTCAAGAATGTCATCTCACTGCAGTGAAGAGGGTGTTGAGATACATAAAGGAAACTATTGATCATGGTGTGCTGTTACCAAAGAAATCAAAGAACAGTTCAGATGTCGAAGTTCATGTTAAAGAGGCCATTTTCCAAATGCATCCTCTCAAGGCTCCAGATCCCGATGGGCTGCCTGCTTTATTCTATCAGAAATATTGACAGCTTCTGGACGCGGATATCACTTTACAATGTCAATCAATCACAATCATATATCCAATTAAATCACTTTTTTATTTAAATTTTCTTTTAATATTGTGGCTGAATGTTATTGGATGAGAGTGTAAAATTATTTTTAATAAAAGTCATTAATAATAATACATATTTAATATTTATTATTATTAATGATAGTTTTATTAAAATTTGAATAAAAGAATTTATAAAAAATAATTTCTAAATTTTGCATACTAAGTCGACATTGAAAGTTATTTTTTGAGTACATTTTCACCTTATAAAAATAATTTTCACAACATTCTTATTAATAACACAATCCTAACTCCTAAGAACCAACACCTGAATCCCACCGACAAAAGTTTTACCCAATCAAATTGTTAAAAAGAAAAGAAATAAACTGTGATTTATATTTACATGCTACTATCTGTTGCATCCAAAAGAAATTGGAATAGAAATTGCAAGAACCTACCCTAATTTAGGCAAAAGAAAATAATTGCAAAAAAGCCAAATTTAATAAAAAAGTGGAGACCGCCTAATTGATTCTCATTGGTGGATTTTAGAAGACACGGATCGCCACGTAAGCGACAGTAAGCCATAGATATGAATTATAGTTTCTGATCCAACGTCGGGAGTATAAAACCTTGACAACACCTGTTCCATTTTCATCTCAAAATCTCCATTTCATTTCTCAGCATTTTCTTGCGACCAACCAAATCAAGAGGTAGAATCTAGTTTTCTCATTTGAAAATGGACGCAAGCACAAAGGTGAAGAAAGGTGCCGGAGGAAGGAAAGGAGGAGGACCAAGGAAGAAGTCCGTCACCAGATCTGTCAAAGCCGGACTTCAGTTTCCCGTCGGAAGAATCGGCCGTTTCTTGAAGAAAGGTAGATATGCTCAGCGTGTTGGTACCGGTGCTCCTGTTTACCTTGCTGCTGTTCTCGAGTATCTTGCCGCTGAGGTTTATTATATTCACTTTCCCTCTTCACTTTCATATTTTCACTGCCACGCTACACTTGGAATTTTGTCAATTCAATCTGTACCCTAATTTTGAGATTTGTTTGATGTGAAGGTTCTTGAGTTGGCTGGAAATGCAGCACGTGACAACAAGAAGAATAGAGTTAGTCCAAGGCATTTGTTGTTGGCTATTAGGAATGATCAAGAGCTTGGAAAATTGCTCGCCGGTGTTACTATTGCTCATGGTGGTGTTCTTCCTAATATTAACCCTGTCCTTTTGCCTAAGAGGGCTGAAAATGCTGCTGCCAGTACTCCCAAGTCTCCATCGAAGGCTAGGAAATCTCCTAAGAAAGCCTAGATATAAGGATATATGTCCTTTTTGTTGTTTGTTGATACTTTAGACTAGGCACACCTCTCATGGGTCGAATTGTTGCATGTATACCAAGCAATGTAATTCAAATGCGTTTGTCTCTCGATTATGAGTTTAACTTGTTAATGAAAACAGTTTGACTTGTTAATGAAAACATTTTGTTTAGCATTTTCGACTGACTAACGATAGCTTTAGGTCGTAGAAGATTTCACTTGTTATCAGATAGTTACTTGTTTGTGAGATCGTTAGAAATTTCATTTGCCTCATGAAAATTTGTACCATATAACTTGCGCGTTGTACTTTTTTTTTTTTTTGGTTGGTAAAGGAAGTGAGTTTATTGGGTAAGATCAGCAAACAAGCCAGACGAGAATACTCACACTGCAGAAAAAGATGTCTTGCAGACTGAGGAGACTCACCATATTGCTTACAAGTAGTATCAAGCAAGATTCCTTTCTGCTACAGATTCCTTTCCTGATTTATTGCTTATTAAGTCATGTTGGAGCCCATGGTATGCAGTACGGACGGAGTGACATCCATTCTTTTAATAATGCCATATAAGCTCAATATTCGGCCTATGAAGAGAAAGATGAATGCTGAGGATTTGGTGCGCCTCCGGGGCATCAAAGCACTCCTGAATCATTTCACGGTTCTAACATCCCAAGTGATGGTCAATCAAATCACAATCCTTGGCATCACAGTTGAGAACACACACTGAGCTCACAGGCTTGAAACCAGCGACCCCAGGGATCCAATTGTCCTTCCAAATATGAACCTTTGCTCCTGTTCCAATTAACCACTTGCTTCCCTTGGTGACACACTCCATAGCACTCAAGATACTTCGCCATACATAGATTGGGCTAAAACGAATTAGAGCTTCGTCAATGGTACACTTGGGATAATAACAACTCTTAAAAACTTTTGACAACAATTAAGAATCACCTGTTAACAACCTTTATAAATGTTTTCCTAGCAGACTTGTGTTGAAATTGCTAATGCCTCTGAAACTCATTTCTCAAATTCCTTTAGAACACACATTTTTGTCCCAGCTGAAAAAATGTATTTCCCCCTCCCCATTTTTAGTTCCCCATAAAACTTTGACAACATTCCTTCAATCTCTTGACACACACCAACGGGTGATCTATAATAGTTCATGATGAAACTTGGAATGGCCTGGGCCACAACTTTGATAAGGATCTCATTCCCTGACATGAACAAAATCTTCTCTTTCCATCCTTTAATTTTCTTCCACACTCTATTAACAACTATGTGAAAAATTTCCTTCTTTGATCTACCAAAAATCACAGGAAAGCCTAAGTATTTAACATGACGCGTCACAGTCTTTACCTGCATCCTATTACGAATCATCTATTTTGTATCATCACCCATATTTTGACTAAAAATCGCTTTAGATTTATCTAAGTTAACCACCTGCCCAGAGGATTCTTGATAAACTTTGAGAACATTCATGACACAGTCAACCTCTGTTTCACTCGCTCTCACGAACAACAAGCTATCACCCGCAAAAAAAAAAGGTGTGAGATAATAGGTGTGTAACGCGGTGGAAGAACTAACTTGGGCGTTTTGCGTTTTATCGTAATTGTTGCGGATAAAAAGAGTCGTCACCGAATTTTCTTTTATCCAATAAGGAAAGGTTGAAAAGAACAAGAAAGACCTTTCGAGATTATTTTCTTCAGTTTGGGGGTAGGTTATGAAAAGAGAATGTGTTAGCACCTTTTCATCCGTAGTTATCTACGGGTCTTAGTTGCTTGCTAGATCATTTGCTTTTGTTTGAAAGTGTGCTTTGTGGTGTGTTTTTGAAAGAATTTTGAAAACGTGCCTTTGTAATGATTCTCGTTTCTATAAGAAAGCATACAAAGTGTTGTTTGGAAAATAGTTCAAAGAAGTGTTTGTGTAATGTGTTTTTGAAAGTGATTTTGAAAAGGGTGTCTTTGTAATGGTTCTCGTCTCTATAAGAACGCGTACAAAGTGTTGTCTTTGAAAATATTTCAAAATGAGAGTGTTTGTGTATAAAATATTTTCGTTGTGAGCAAGCGAGCGACTAGGAGCAACCTACCTACTCAAAAAGGTCTTAAATATTCTTTTCATCATCCTTTAGATGTTATTATCTTACCATTGATTTGGTAAGAAGTCTCATCGTTGAATGTATAGGGACGAGCGTGAGACGTTTGTATAGTCATATAAGGCAATCTATGAGACGTTTTAGCAATGTCGTTTAGGGACTAGATCGTTTACGGAAGGCAACATTGAGGGTCATCGAGGAGATACGATCTTTTATCGAGGGTCTTTGCTAAAACGTCCATATTCGAGGGACATGACTATTTCTCCGAGGCAACAAGTGAGATTACCCTAAGGGTGCATGTGTGAATAATGTGTTTGATTTGCATGCATTTATTTTTTGATTAGGGGTTGTCTACTCGTTGTTTTTTATCTTTCCATACATGCCCTATTTACTAGCAAGCATACAAAAGTAATAAAATGCAGAAAGATAAAATCCTACGCTATTACAACCATATTGAATTGCATGAAAATATAAAGGCAAAAATAAGATAAAAGCAAGAAAAATGAAGGTCTTTCGATTGAGGGAGAAAGCCCTTTGATTCTGCACTTTCTGGCTTTTTTCGATTCGGGCCTGGAGTCAGTGAAGTCATGCCCTTCGATTTTCCTTTTTGCCTCCTTCGACTGAGGGCTGGAAACATTGTAGACATGCCTTTAGATTGGAGCCTGGAGGCCAACATGTTGTCCCTTTCGACTGGGCTTGGAACTAGTGTAAGATGTGATATGCCTTTCTGCCTCCTTCGATTGGGGGTTGAAAGCAGTGAGGGACTGGCTTTCGACTGGGCCTGCAGGTCAGTGTGTTCGAAGCAAGTGTGTGTGTGATGAACACGTCTGTGTTGAAGCATGTGTATCGAAGCATGTATGCAACAGACAGGTGTGTGTCGAAGCGCACATTCTTTTCCTTTTTGTTTGAGCCTGTCAAAGCCTTAAGGCTTTGTATCGAAGCATGCATGTTTTTTACTCCAACATTTTTAGGGGGCTGTACAAATTAGTTCTTAAAGGAAAACACAAAAGATTAACATCGAAGACCATGATTATTACATGTTGGTGTCGAAGATGAATCAATAAATATGTTTGAAATGAAAGAGTTAAAGTCAGAAAGACTTACCTCAAAGTTGGTGTATGGGCTTCGAACTTGAACTGCTACCTGAACGGTTCTGGAATTCGAAGAGTTAACACCGGGGGGGGGGGGGGGGGGTTTCTTTTGGTTTGAAGAGTTGTCACGAAAGGTTGTCCTTGAGTTTGAACAAACTTCTATGTGTGTGGTGTTCTGGATAGTTGATTTATGAGAGTTGGAAAGATGAGATAATGTATTTTGATTTTGTGTTTGTAGGTGAAAGTAGAGTTGATTTTTGAGTGAGCAAAAGTACAAAGGTGTCTGTTTTGTTTCCCATCTCTCTCTTCTCTCCTCTCAGCGTCTCCATCCCCCTTGATATTGTGAAGAAATGTTTATTTATAGAGGAGCTTTGATGTGGTTTTGGGGGGGAAAAACAAATAACATTTGAACTGTCTGGGTATATTGTCCCCTTGTTTTCTTCGATGTAGCTCTTATGTACCTTTTTTGTGTATGTATGGGACTCAGACAATGCAGGCTCAACAGTATTTTAGAGTGTGTGGCAAGACTGTTGCATAGCAGTACAACTATCTTGGACTGAGACAATGCAGGTTAAAATTTTCCAAATACTTGCCGCATTATCGATCCATAACACAAACTTTGCAATGGACTTTGAATTTGAACGATGGAGCCAAGTAAGGAGCATGGTGTTGCATCAGATCCATTGAGCTTACAGGGGATCTGCTACTAGATGTTTTGTTAGGGTTCCATCAATGAACTTCTCTTTATTCTTGGAAATCAAAGCAATATGCGTCGATCTTGATCAAGTATGATAATTCTTATCATCAAGTAAAGGAGAAACAAGAACAATAGCTGACTTTTCATTCAGATGTAGGTAATAAGGATTGGTGGAATTTATGGAAAAATCAATGTAACTCTGATACGCCATTGAAGAAGGATTCAAGAAAGTGAGAAAAGGAACAAGCCGAAGAATCAGCGACTGCAATCGTAACACACGAATTGCAGAACGAGAGGAATGAGTTATAATGGATACCGGAACTTTAAAAACTTTGATACCATGTTCATGTTACAATAAGTGCGCACAAGTTCTATTAAAAAGGAAGCAAGAAAAACTATACACTTGGTAAAGTAAAGAGAAATGTATAACATATAAAGTTTTGTATTCGATAATTGGTACAAACTATACAAAATTCAATATATATATACAATGGATAATAACTAACAAACTATAAACTGTAATTAACTGTACAGGAGTTGCACTATGATAGGCTAGAAAGTAATATTAAGTTAACATATCCTCAAATCTTTTAGGTCAAATAAATTAATAAAAAGAAAAAATGATTAATGCACTAATAGTGTAATATAATTTTTATAATGTCAATCAATCATAATCATGTATCCAATTAAATCACTTTTTTTATTTGAATTTTCTTTTAATGTTGTGGCTAAATGTTATTGGATAAGAGTGTAAAATTATTTCTAATAAAAGTCATTAATAATAATATATATTTAATATTTATTATTATTAATGATAGTTATTAAAATTTGAATAAAAGAATGTATAAAAATTTTACATGCTACTAAGAACCAACACCTGAATCCCACCGACAAAAATTTTACCGAATCAATTTGTTAAAAAGAAAAGAAATAAACCGTGATTTATATTTACATGCTACTATCTGTTGCATCCAAAAGAAATTGGAATAGAAATTGCAAGAACCTACCCTAATTTAGGCAAAAGAAAATAATTGCAAAAAGCCAAATTTAATAAAAAAAAGTGGAGACCTCCTAATTGATTCTCATTGGTGGATTTTAGAAGACACGGATCGCCACGTAAGCGACAGTAAGCCATAGAGGTAGAATCTAGTTTCTGATCCAACGTCGGGAGTATAAAACCTTGACAACACCTGTTCCATTTTCATCTCAAAATCTCCATTTCATTTCTCAGCATTTTCTTGCGACCAACCAAATCAAGAGGTAGAATCTAGTTTTATCATTTGAAAATGGACGCAAGCACAAAGGTGAAGAAAGGTGCCGGAGGAAGGAAAGGAGGAGGACCAAGGAAGAAGTCCGTCACCAGATCTGTCAAAGCCGGACTTCAGTTTCCCGTCGGAAGAATCGGCCGTTTCTTGAAGAAAGGTAGATATGCTCAGCGTGTTGGTACCGGTGCTCCTGTTTACCTCGCTGCTGTTCTCGAGTATCTTGCCGCTGAGGTTTATTATATTCACTTTCCCTCTTCACTTTCATATTTTCACTGCCACGCTACACTTGGAATTTTGTCAATTCAATCTGTACCCTAACATTGAGATTTGTTTGATGTTCAGGTTCTTGAGTTGGCTGGAAATGCAGCACGTGACAACAAGAAGAATAGAGTTAGTCCAAGGCATTTGTTGTTGGCTGTTAGGAATGATCAAGAGCTTGGACAATTGCTTGCTGGTGTTACTATTGCTCACGGTGGTGTTCTTCCTAATATTAACCCTGTCCTTTTGCCTAAGAGGGCTGAAAATGCTGCTGCCAGTACTCCCAAATCTCCATCAAAGGCCAGGAAATCTCCTAAGAAAGCCTAGATCGTAGGGTTTGCTTGTTCTTGTTTGTTATGTATGGATACCTTAGATTTGATACATCTCTCATGTGTTAGCAATCTAATTCTTACGGATTTGTCTCCCGTTTATGATATGGACTCGTTAATGAAAACATTTTGCTTAAAGATATTCCCTGGATCAGATGGTCGCTTGTTTTGGATTAGATTTTTTATTTATACAACATGAAATATTGCTCATGCAATATATTTGTTTCATATATTCTTGTGCGAGATGGTAGTGATTTGTTTTGTAATAATTAATTCTTCTAGGTGATTATACTCTATTTAAAAAAGAACATCGATTAAGATAATTCAAAGTAGTACCAGACTACATTATAGAGTGAAAAGCCCCCCAAAAAAATAGAATTGAAAAATTATGAGGAAATTATCTATCTAGTGATTTTTTATTATCCACTAAATAATATTTATCACTAACATTTTTTTATTATGAGTTGATCATGCATTTAACAAGTATAC